AAATGATTTTGAGTTTTGTACCACATTGTTCTCCCTCTTTATGCAGGGAGATTGAAGAGTTTTAAGGAACCTAATAGTAAAGGCCTAGACTGCCTTGAAGAGACTATTGGTAGAATTATGGATGTAAAAGGCAATTCTGGTGTTGGATCAGAAGAAAGAGCGGAGAGTTTTAACACCAGAGATGGTAGAGAGATGGCAGAGACCAGCATGAGACATAATGGAAGGCTTTCCAGCCGAGGGAGCGAGAGCTGAGTGTCTTTGGGCAGGAGGCTTCCTGGTGAAGTGGGTTGCTTTTGGGCACTAATTGGTAGAGCTGAAGAGCTCTGTAACACTTGCTGGAACGGGGCAGTGGCCAGGGTAGCCTCTTTGAGAGATGAAGGAAGCAGGAAACATGAAGCAGAAACTGAAGAGACAAGGAAGACAGGAAGCAGAGCTACCTCAGTCTCAAAGGGTAGGACCATGGCCTCTGGAGTTTGAAAGGGTAGAACCGCCACAGCCTCCTAGGTTTCAAAGGGTCAGATCTTCACTAACTTGTTCCAGTTAGTCATGGGGCTGCTGTACATGACTGTCAGTAAGATGGGGCCAGATCTGCTGCTCAGAACTGAGGGGGTGGAGCTTCCATGCTCAAGGGGTAGAAGGATGGGACCAGTCAGGCCAAGGAGTTGAGGTTGCAACTCAGATAGACTAGGAGAATGTGGCCACCCAAAGCCAAGGGAGCAGAGTTGTTGTTCCAGTGGGCCTAGAAGGCAGTGCTGAAGCCCAAGGTTGAGGCTCTTTCCTCCTAGAATCCAGAGGGCATGGCCAACACCCAGAGTTTGGAAGGCAGGGCCATTGCCCAGATAGTCTCAGAGAACAGAGGATTATTTTTAAGCCTTGAGAGCTAGCTAATGTAAATTGTTCTGTTGGGCTTTTTGACTTGCTTGATGCTGTTTGTTATCCCTTCTTTCTCTCCAATTTGTAATAGAAATGTCTACCTTGTGCCTGTTCCATAATTGTACTTTGGAATCAGATAACTTGTATTCTAGATTCACAGATGAAGAGGAATTTTGCCCCAGGATGGCCTTTGGACTTGGAGTTGATTTAAAACTTTTGAGATGATATGATGGGGTAAAAGTGTTTTGCATGTGTCAAGGACATGAATTTCCAGGGGCCAAGGGTTTGAATGTCATGGATTTAATTTTGTCCCCCAAAATTTGTGTCAACTTGGCTGGGCTGTGATTATCAGTGGTTTGGCAGTTATGTAATGACACTCCACGATGTGATCTGATGTGAAAAGCCAACCAGGTATAAGAGGAGTAAGGGTGGAATGCAACAACCCTTCGTCCCATCACAGCCCTGATCCATGTAAAGGGAGATTCTCTGGGGTGTGGCCTGTAACACCTTTTATCTTATAAGAGACAGGAGGAGAGAGAAGGGAGCAGAGAGATGAGGGGTCCCTAATATCATCAGGAAAGAGGCAGAAGCAGAGTATATCCTTTGGACCCAGGGCCTCTGTTCTGGGATCCTCCCAGAACCAAGAGACACACAGAAAGGCTTCCCCCTAGAGCTGGTGCTCTGAACTCAGACTTCTAGCCTCCTAAAATGTGAGAATAAATTTGTTTGTCAAAGCCACCTCCTTGAGCTATTTCTGTTATAGCAGCACTAGGTAACTAAGACACAGTGATTCTAAAAGTTTTTTGTTGTTGTTATTAATGGATCAAATTCTCTTTGGATAGTCCCCTCATCCTCTGAAGTTCTTTCTGCATGAATGTTATGTGAAGTAAGTTATAAAACTTCTGTTCTAATCTCACATATATAACCTTCCCTCTTTATTACAGGGGACAGCAGTTTGCTCAGCAGATACAGCAACAGAATCCTGAACTTATAGAGCAACTGAGAAATCAAGTCCGGAGCAGATCATTCAGCAGCAGCACTGAAGAACATTCCTGATTTGATTGGCAACACTGGCTCAGAATGCAAATGACAGAAGGCTCTGAAATCTTCACTGTAGCTAGTGGCCCAAAACAGCACCATATCTGATATTTGAAAATAGTGGAGGAAAAACTCGTGTATATTCCTAAATAAGAAATCTGTTTAGAAAATAGGTTTATCACAGACTTGAACATAACATGACTCCTTTGGAAGGCTTGTTAACTGAAGTGCCAGTATAGCACTGGACAAGGTTCCATTTTCAAACCTTTGTTATCATATTTGTATATTAGATGTAACAGCAGAATGTATTTATTGAACAACAGGGCTGTTTATTGGTGAGTTTTCTAGCTCCAAATTCCCTTAGACAAACTTTTTTGAGGGGAGATGAGTAAGAGGCAATGTTTCCCATTCTAGTCTAGAAAAAATATACTTGCCACTGACTGGAGTAGCATGTCAGGAGAGAGGAAGGTTGGTATCTAGGTTTAGCTTTGATAGTGCTATCAGTAATAGGTGTCACAGGTGTGAGTATATCTTTAATGCTGCTTGTTTTTATGAGTGACAGGATCTTAAGAGCTGGTAGAAAGCAGCATTTGTTGCAAGGTATGCTGTTTTGAAAATAAAAAGTATATGAGGTGAATGTATAGAAAGTGAAAGTAGGATGCTCAGGTTTTCTGCATAGTTCTTAACTAATCTTGCCTGCAGTTTGGTATTGTTAATATTAGCATGGCCAGTTGTGCTGTGTTCATACTAAAATGCATTTAGAAATCCTTAATGGTACTGGTTAGGTCAGTCATTTAACTGTTCAGCTTCTTGGAACAACTTCACCAGTGGTGACCTTACCATGGAAATTCTGATGTAGATCAGAATATATCTGTATTTAAATAAACCAATGGGTTGGCCCTAAGGATTTTCTAAGTGGCATTTGCTGATGTTTCCATAAATATTTTTTAACTCAGTAATTATTGATGGATTACAAAAAGCATCTATTGCTAACATTGCTTGCTCTTGTAATCATTTATAATTTGGCTTAGCATGGCACTCTTATGCTTCACTTTAATTTGATGCAACTGAAACACACTGCAAGAGACTTAGAAAATTAATTTAGATGCCATACTAGTGGGGGGAAATGACATTAGATAGTAATGGCGTAACTCTACCTACAGAGATAGACCAAACAGTTCTAATTCCAGCAGTTAACATTTCTTTTGCTTGTTAATCATGAATTTGGCAAAGTGAGGCTGACATGTAACGATTTCACAAATTTTGTGAGGGAAAACTGAAAAAGAAAGTAGTATAAAATTAAAGTAATAATATTGATGATCAAGGTCTTGTTAAAACTGTTCTCAAAAAAAAAAAAACAAAACAAAAAAAACCCTAATTAACTGGGACCTTGAAGTTTAAAAACCAACATTTTCTTTTTCTGACAGGGGCTCTAAATTTTGACGTACGAAATACCTGGGGAATTTATTGGAAATGCAGATACAGAGCCACACACAAATTCTGATTTAGAAGGTCTTGCAATAAGACCCAGAAATCAGCATTTTAAGCAGAACACCACCTAGTCCTGATTGTAGGCCCAGGGGCTCTAGAGAAATGGAGGTTACTCTTGAATTAGATCAGCAAATACATAAGTACCTGGGCTCAGGCAACAAAGACGACCAATGCGAACTTACAGCTCTGGCCGGAGAAGATCAGAACTTAAGACTTAGGCTTTTGAAATCAAATACCCACAGTGGTTAAGTCCTCAACTACTAACTGAAAGGCAGTTTGAACCTACCAGCCACAGTGTTAGAGAAAGATGTAGTAATTGCTTCCATAAAGATTACAGACTTGGGCAATTCTATTCCATCTTATATGGTCTCTATGAGTCGGAATGGACTTGATGGCAACAGGTTTGGTTTACATTCCATCCAAACCAACTAAATGCTTCATGAAGTTAGATTCAACTCCTAGTGTTCATGTGTTACACAAAATAAAATCTTAACTAATTACATAAAAGTGATTTAGGAAAAGAGAACCAAAGATGATCCTTAATTAAAAACTAACCATTTTTACCCAGTGTTGGATAATTAGTTTCTAGCCTAATTATCTTGAGTACATGAAAAACACTAAAATCAGTAAAATTTGTAAGCCTCTAAAAACGCACTGCCATCGATTCAATCAGATCCGACTCATAGCGACCCTTCCTTGGGTTTCCGAGGTGGTATCACTACGGAAGTAGATTGTCTGCCCTTCTTTCTGAGGAGTGGCTGGTGGGTTTGAACCTCCAGCCTTCTGGTTAGCAGTCAAATGCTTTAGGCGCTATGCCACCAGAGCTCCCTGTAAGCCTCTGTTGTTATGTGCCGTCGAGTCGGACCCAACTCATAGCGCCCCCTCCTTGGGTTTCCAAGGCAGTATCACTATGGAAGGAGATTGCCCCATCTTCCTTCTGAGGAGTGACTGGTAGGTTTGAACCACCAGCTTTCTGGTTAGCAGTCAAGTGCCTTAGGTACTACGCTACCAGAGCTCCCTGTAAGCCTCTAGACAGACTAAAAAAAAAAAGAGAAAAATTACAAATTAACACTATCAGCAATGGAAGAGTAGATATCACTAGGCCCAGTAGACATTAAAAGAATAATTGGAAAATACTATGTTTTTGTTAGCTGCTGCTGAGATGGCCCCAACTCTTGGCAATCCTATACGAAACGGAACAGAGCCTTGCCTGTTGTGATACATACCCCATGATTGGTTGTGGGTCAGGCAGTTGTGATCCATAGGGTTTTCATTTGCTGATTTTTCAAAGGAAATCACTAGGACTTTCTTCCCAGGCTGTCTTAGTCTGGAAGCTCCACTGAAACCTGTTTAGTATCATAGCAACACTAAAACCTCCACTGATAGATGGGTAATGGCAGTACATAGATTGGCCAGGAAGTGAACTTGGGTCTCCTGTGTGAAAGGCGAGAATCCTACCACTGAACCACCAACGTCCCCAACTCTAGGTCCATATATTTAACAACGGAGAAGAAATAAATTCCTTGTAAGATACAAACCAAAGTTCACAGAATAATCTAAATAGACCTATATTAATCAAATAAATTAAATTCATAGTTAAAAACTTTCCAGAAAAGAAAACCACAGGCCCAAATGGTTTTACTGGTGAATTCTACCAAACATGTAAGGAAGAAATACCAATCCTACACAATCTCTTGAAGAAAACAGGAGGAGGAGGAAAAACTCCCCATCTAATTTTATTTGGCCAGTATTACTCTAGTACCAAGTAGCCACTCCTCGGAAAGAAGGTTGGGCAATCTACTTCCGTAGTGATACAGCCTTGGAAACCCAAGGAGGGGTCGCTATGAGTCGGGTCTGACTCGACAGCATGTAACAACAACCCTAGTACCAAAATCAGACAGACATTGTAATAAAAAGCACTTTAAAATAATGTCTTGAAGTGCTAGTATCTGTAGTTAAGGTAGCCTTTCCTTTTACTTACAATAATGGGAATTGGTTTATTTCTTCCATTTCACCTTCTAGTTTCTTTCTTTGCTAATATACCACCCATAACAGATTCACTCTAGATATTGTCTGTCCACTTACCTGGGTTCCCATTCTATTCAGGACATTTTTGCTCTTCAAGAAAATACCTGCATTACGTTGGAATCACTGCATTGCAAGTTATTTGAAGAGACAGTTCTGTGCGATTGGACTATGCTAGCTACTCTAAAAATGAGAAGAAATGCCCCAAATATTATTCTTGCTGGTCTGGAAAATACAGCTCCATTCTAACTAGAGGAACAAAAAGGCACTATGTAAATCTCTGTATATGTTCTACTTAGGAATGCTTCACTTCCATCAACTGCATTTCATTGTAGCTGTGTTACGATGCTACATAAAACTTAACATGTCCTTGTTAAACAACTGACATTCCCATTTAATGTACCAAATTGTTTGTCTACTTTTTATAATATGGTTTAAACAGATTCTTTCCAAGGTGGGATTATTTAACCTTAAAGTATGAACAATGTGTGTCTGAGTTATTGTTTACAAACAGGAGAGACTTTATAACTAGATAGCAGATTCCAAGTGACCATTTTATGTTAAATTTTAAATTTGAAACAAAGTTCAGTCATGAGAAGCTGCTTAAACAACAGTGGAAGGGCCAATGCAGTGGCTACGAAGTCTTGTTTCATCATTTAGTTAACTTTAATCATTTTGGAAGAAAGATAGACTTTAATTCTATACTACTTGCACTTTATTTTGTACAGATATTTCATTAATTATTGTAATTTGATGAGTAAACCTCATTCTGACCATAGCTTTCATTTGAGACCAAACAATTTGTCATGGCAATAAATATTTATGCATTTAAGAAAAACTCATTTTTGTATTTGACTTTAATGCACTCCTACACTTAAATTCTATACACAGTTGAATTTCAGCTTGCCAAAGTAGGGTAGCTTTTATTGAACAGCTAAGCTTTTGTTTTCCTGACAAAATACTTAAACTTTTTAATACATTTATGTTGCAGAGATGTTTACAAGCTAAACTTTTGTTCATGACATAAGTCAGTAAGCTGGATTTGATACAGAGCTGGAAAGTTTTATTATAATACTAATACATGATTTAGAGCTCAAGATCAAGTATCAGAAGCTACGAATCTTTTAAATAAGCCATATGAAAAAAAGTGGCTTACTTTTCAATACCAAACTAAACAAAAACAAACCAGGACTTTTTGGCTTAGAATTAGAAAATTATTTCGCTACTAAATTAGAAATCCACAGAGTAATCAACCACCTAACAAATAAAACCCAATTCTGATCTGCTATTCAGGGAATGAAAGTATGATATACATAAATCCATACCACAGTCCCAATAAAATAATTTTTAAAACAATTAGAAAAGCTCATACTTTGTTAGCAAAGTAACAGATTACATAAGGACTACCCTAAACTTTTACACAAATACCTTTTTTGTTGACTCAGGAGTAGGAAAATATGAGTTAACTGAACTATTTCTGATAAAATATTATGAGAATTCCCAGCTTCTAAGAAATATCTTCTAGATCTGAGTTGACAAACTGCAGCCCAATCCATCCTAGCACTTCTTTTGTAAATATAATTGCACTTTTTTTTTTAATTGTCCATACCTGCTTTCACAGTACAACTGCAGAGTAGGTATGACAGAAATCACATGGCCTGTAAAGCCTAAAATATTTAGACCTTAACAAAAGTTTGCTGATACCCCTGTTCTAGAGGCTTGCTAGGAACAGATGTTCTCAAATAGAGTGTATATGGATAACAAAGTCCAATGATCATCTAAAATGAAATGAGATGAGACAGCATGTAGAAAATACACAAATGTTCACTTAGAATCTCAAATCAGATGGTTCTTTTCAAAGCAAATATTTAGTATTTTCAACTCAGTTATACAGGAAAGAAATTTAAATATATATTTTTGTTGTTAAATTGATCTTACAAAGCTGACAAAATTACACAAAGTAGTTTTGTGAAACCAAAAGTGTAGTATTAGAAATTTTCTTCAGTTTTCCATTTTAATGGCTGATACCACACAGACTTGTGCGATGTCATCATATTCATATGTTCTCTTTAAGAAGGTGTCTGTTAATCTTAAGCCAGAGACGCTCTATTGAGAGAAAGATACAAATTTTAACTTACTGGTAATTAAAAAAAAAAAAAAAAGAGAATTAATGACTGGGATAATGGCCCCCAAATACTGAAATTATTCAAAAGAAAACATACTTGCAGTCCCTGTACTGAAGACAGTAGAGTAAGGGCAAGGCAGAGAGAGGAACTTGGGTGCAGCTTTCCAAGCTGTCTACCTGAAATGCCACACCAGTGGATAGAATTGGTATTGCACATTTCCAAAACCAGATCCATAGTCCTTTCACTGCTGGAGGAATCAGAAACACAGGAATAAATCTTGATCCTGGCACAAAAAGGTACTATTTATTTATTGCTAAATGAACTTGTTTTCTGGGCTTCCAGAAGAATAAAAATCAGATATAAATGAAAAGCTATTACATCATTTTTATTTCACTTTAAGATACAATCAGGAAAATGAAAATAGATGGGGTCTTCTAGGGTTTAAAACGACCCTTAGACTGATCAGCCTGCCTTGATGTTGGCCTTCTGGTTCTAGTTCTGAACTGTGGCTTGCAGTGTTGACCTGTTAACAGTTTTGCTGTTTCTCTGGGAGGCGTCCAGACATTTGTGTCTGATCCTACTGTTCTGTATCCTTCCTATTAGGTACTCTGCAGGAAAGAAATTTTGCTATTTAATCTATGTTCCTTTAATATTATAGATATGCAGATAACTGGGAAAATGACAAGAGTCATAAGGAGTAAATATTAATTTATTTAACATAAAAAAGATTATTTCTGCTTATAACTGATACCACCAGTTTAACTTAAACATTTATTTCAAGTTAAATTTTAATGAAAGTACGCACTTAATGACAAATAGTCTTGTACTTTACCACTATTCATAACTAGTTTTAACTTTTTTAGCTGTTTTCTCATAGTTGGCTTCATATTTTAAAATACTCATTTTAATACTTGATTTTTAGACTTATTTAACTTAATGGTATTGAACTTTTTTGTGTATGTATCTCTCTAGCAGATGTTTGAAATGCTCACTATGTATGTCCATAAGCAGTATAAAGCTAACAGGAGGCAAAGTTAGGATAACTTCTTAGACACAACTGAGCACCATGAGGGAGTCACTGGGCCTGCAGGCTGGGGACTAACTATGGTTGTGGGGGACATCAACCTCAACTGGCACAACATCAACTAGCCAACCAACCAACAAAAAAATCACCTCATTGCCATCGAGTCGATGAGGACGCTACATCTTACTTTGGTGAGTAGTTACTGGGGTCTTAATAGCTTGCAAGCAGCCATTTAACAGAGAAGAATGAAGAAAATCAAAGATGCATGGAAATAGTCCAAAGGACTCATGGACCATGAGAACCTCAGTTTACATGACCCAAGACCAGAACAACTAGGTGGCGCCTGGCTACCAATGCCAATTGCTTGGAAAGGGATCAAAATGGGAGATCCTAGACAGAATGGAAGAAAAAGTGTAGAGCAAAATTAAAAAAGACCAGGTTTACTGGTCAGACAGAGATGGGTGAAACCTGAGACTATGGCCTCGAGTCACCCATTGGGCCTGGAATTGAACTCACTCCCGTGGGTGGCTTAACTCTCAGCCAAATAATAGATAGGCCTACGAGTTGAACAACTACACCAGGGAGATGCACTCCTTAGAACAGCTGACCATGGGAGATCAGAAGGACAGCATCTGCATGGGGAAAAAGGGAGGCAGCAATGCATAGGCAAGGACACAGGGAAAGGACCACAAGAAGTGGGAAGAGAGCAGTTACACTGCAGGCATCGTAATCAGTGTCACAACACATAATGTGTATATGAACTGCTGAATGTAAAATAAATCTGCTTTGTAAAATTTCACCCAAATCACAATAAAAAGTTAAAAAAAATGATGAACAAAATGCCAACTCTTGTGCCACAGACCAGGTTAGGTGTACTACTTGTGTTTTCTCATTAAATTTCACAAAAATCCAGTAAGAATGTATATGTGTTGTATGTGTGTGTGTGTGTGTGTGTGTGTGGGAAGGATGGAGTAATACAATTTAGAAGTAGAAAAGCTAAGAAACAAGTGACGTATTAAAAAAAAAAAAAAAGTGATTTATAGAAAACCCTTATTTGAATCACCGAAAGTTAAAGTGAACACTTAAAGAAATGAAATTCCTTTATTTTTTACAACACTTTGTCGGCTGGTGAATAACTGATTTGCTATGTATGCCTCAAAAAAGACAAACAGAAACAAAAACCACCCAATATGAGCCCTATATGCACACAGGGTCTTTACCATGTTTGTAATGGTAGCATAGTGCCTAAGGCACTTGACTGCTATCCAGAAGGCTGACAGTTCAAACCCACTAGTCACTCCTCAGAAGGAAGATGGGGCAATCTACTTCCACACTGATACTACCTTGGAAACTCAAGGAGGGGTCGCTATGAGTCAGGTCTGACTCAATGGCACCTAACAACAACAACATTTACTAAGCTCCTTTGTTGTGGTAGGCATTGTGTGTACAAGGCTGGGTAAGACACAGTCCCTTCTGTGGAATAATTCACAATCTACTAAAGAAAAGACTAATAATTATAGCAATGTATGTGTCACTAAAAATCTATGTAAAATTTTTCTATGACATAGAAAGAAATGATATTCTATTCTTTGGAGGGACTATGTACCTTCATAGAGGAAGGAGGTATTTTGAAGAATGAATATTTATCTCCCTAATATAAAAAAATTACAATGGATATGCGATAAAAAAAAATTATACATTCAGATTATGAAGGATGGGGCTCATCAATGCAATATTATCCAAATGCCTCAACTAATAATAATACCAAGTAGTAATAGGAGTAGTAGCCAAAATGGGATTTAATCCTAGGATTTTCTTGTTCTGAAGCTCTATCTTTGCATAATGACTAGATCACACTCTCACTTTATTAGCAAAGCCCTGTTCAAATTACTATTCTTCATGGAGGAGCCCTGGTGGTACAGCAGTTCCAGTGGTTGGCTGTAACTGCAAGGCCAGTAGTTCAAAACCACAAGCTGCTCTGTGGGATAAAGATGTGGCAGTCTGCTTCCTTAAAGATTAACAGCCTTGGAAACTCTCTGGGATAGTTCTACTCTGTACCCTATAGGGCACAGTCACAACTGACTCGATGGCAATGGGTTTGATTTTGTTATCCCTTATATTTAAATTCATAACTAGTTTTTAGTTTCTAAATACCAAAGAAACAACTTGGGTACAAGTGTGTATCAGAAAAATTCACCTTCTTATTCTAAATCTATAATGCATTTTTCTGTAAGAACCTACTAGCTCATGGTTAGTAATCTCAAGTGTGAAGGGGGGATAAACAACACAAGGAACATAGACTTTGAAGTCAAATGCATCTGGATTCAAATTCTGACCCCATCTTTGCTACCTCTATAACCCTGAGTAAGTCACTTAACCTCTTTGAGCTGGCACCCTCATGTATAAAATGTGAATGTATGAATGAAAGAAAATACAGAAAATGCCTAATATAGTAGGACCTACCTATGAAAAATGTTGTATTATTTAATACCAATATCAGGGAAGGCTATAAGCCAATAGGAAACGTAAAAGAAGACAACATATTTCAAAGATTTAAAAACTCTCTTTCAGGTACATGAGGACAAAAAGACATCCACCCACAAACACTGCCATTACCTGCAGTTTGTTATTTTACAGGTTATATGAAAAGGTTCTTCTAGGTTTACGGTATCTGGGATTGCCTCCAAAGACAACCTAACATCTCCATAGCCTGGAGCCTAAGAAAGAAAGCAACGCATTTAATATGCATCTATTATAAAACCCATCAATTTTAATAACTACCCCAAACAAACACATTCACTCAAATGCTGACAGTATGCCAACCTGATACTCAGATCAAACATTCCACTGTTCTCCCATTGTAACCTCTTGTGCTGCTACAACCTAAAGAACAGCACTGCAAGCCCTAAGAATTTGTTTTTGCTGTAATTACTACAAGTTCAGAAGAGTTAAGAGGAATCTCATGAATGAATATAGGTGGTAACAACTGATAAGCAGTTATTCTGTTTTGCAAAGTAAAACATATTAAGGATACATTAACACTTGAGCATTCTCTATCTCAATGCCAGTTTTCCACTCAGAGATCCATAAAATAATTAGTCTTTTATCTCTTATTCTCTAATAACAGTAACACCTTCTGTGGTGGTTTGATTTTTAGTGATCCAGAAAAATTTAAGTTGCTCTAACCATCCCCTATCTACCCTCAAACCCTCACCAAAGTTCTTTTCCAGACTCACCATTCTTTGAAGTTGGCTGGTTTGCAACCTTCCCCTTTCACCTAGATTTGTTTTCCACACTATATCCAATTTTCCAATCACTGTTACTCCCTTAATGATGCCTGCTTTTTCTGCAAACTCCTTCTTGGGCTTAAGGCAGTATAAGTACTGGCGTGTATCCATTGGCTGCAAATATGCTCTTGAACCAAATGTTGATATACTGGGAGGGATGGAGACAGACAGAGATGGAGAAAAATCTCTAGCATCTTTTAAAAGAAAAACCATGGCCATGATTGCTCCTTTTGGACAAGAACTGGATTATCTAGATCAGAACAGGTCACTGGTACAAGAACAAAAATGACTTGTATTGAAAGGATTTTTTTTTCAGTTGATTGACATGGAAATCTTGAGATTCTTTATAATAGAATGAACTGTTATTACCTAGAATATTGGACGTGTATCATAATACACCTACTCCTCACTTACTGACTATCTTGTTATCCAACATTTTGCATTTACGATAGTAAGAAATCTATGTAAACTTTTGTGTATTAATGACACATAGCTATCAATAATGAATGCCAAGGTTCCTGACAGGGTCCCAACTGGTGGACCCTGTGTACACACATAACATTTCACTACTCAGGAAGGGAAAGGAGGTACAGTGTCCCTGAGCCACTGGGGTGTTGGGTGGAGCAGGGAAGGGGGACCATGGTTGGGGCAGCAAGGTTGAGTCAGGCCATGGTCAGGAGCCCCAAGAGGGCATTTGGGTGCCTGGGGACCAGCACCTATGCAGCCCCTTATGCTCTGGAAATCCCAAATATGGGGAGGAACGCAGGGCTTGGACTACCCTCGTTCTTGAAGACTGTGCATTCCTCCCTTGCTGGTAGTGGTGGGGCTCAGCTCTCTTGAGGTGCTGTACGAGAGTGGGAGGTGGTGGTGGCAGATAACCTCAGCAGAGGCCCGGTGGAATGTTCGCAGTACAGGTGAGGGGGTGAGATGATGTGATCATCCTCCATTTTCGCCGAACACCAATTTCTGCGTAACAATCTGGTCTTTGGAACCTAACCATTGTTGATAAGTGAGAAGTGTATGTAACAGAAAAAAATGCAATAGAAATCAGGATGTTAAGTACCATGTCCATTTCTCTAAAACTGTCAATGAGAATAGATTAGAATAAGATGACAAATACCATTCTAAAATTACATAATCATTTTTAAAGTGAACTGAAATACAGGAGAAGTCTCAGACAAGGAAAAGAAAGAAAAATAATTGTTTTCCTCAGAGAAAGGATGGGAGTCTATAAACTGTTCTGTATCAGACCACCATAAGATGATAAAAGTAAAATTCATTCCTGACTAATAAGGTACTACTTTCCTCAGCTATTACTTTCTTATCTCTATTAATATCAACCCTACGTCTATTTATTTCCCTCTTCTATATTATCTATTGAAAGATACATGCATTTCCTTTTTCACACAGAAAATTAAACCATCTCTTCCTATGCCCACTACTCTTCGGGTTGGGAGCGTTTCTTCTTAATACTCACCATCATCCTTTTCCTAACTTCTTTTTCACTGTTCCTTTCCATGCCTCAGTTTCATCATTTGTGGGACAGGGATGATAGTTTCCATATTTACCTCACCCATTATTGTGAGAATTAAAAGATCAAGTGCTTCAAACAATAAAATATAACATGCAAAGGGCTAGGATTCTTATTTTTATGTGGATAACTGAAGCACTGATATAGTATTATTGAAATAAATGATTATAAACCACTCAAGAGGAATGGATTGAGAAAGGATTTATCTTTCAAAACCAAAAACTTCTTAATTCATATTTACCATTCTCCAGCTTGGCTGATAGAATTTAATTCTGCTACATTGTACATTATAGATGGCTCCAGTGAAACCTTCTCCATAAACATAGGTGAGTTTGTGATATTCTGAATCTGGGCTTCGAGAAATACTTCATCAGTCTGAGGATATGAAAAAAAAAAAAAAAAAAAAATCCACCGAAGTGTGATGGTATTTTAAATATTTACCTCAACAACAATATCTGGTCTAAATAAAGAAAAAATATTAACCACAAATGTGATTAGTTCATGCCTGCAAATCAAAGTTATCACAATTAATGCAAGAAAAGAAATCTTCATCCCAACATAATTAATAGGAGCAAAGTCAAGTGTTAGTCAACTGATACCCTGCCAAACAATGGATGGGGGATAACTGTAAAATATTTTGTATTAACAGCTTAAAAATATTTATTTAACTGGAATTTCATTCACAAATTTTTCAATCTTTTAGTAATGGAAATGCTAAAATGAGCTTTATGTGAATATACCTGGGCACCAATAATTTTGTGATATGTTACAATGTAAGATCATTAGGTCTTTATTTTTGATGGTATAGTTGTTACCACTATGCTATCTGTGAATATTCTATTTTATAAGTTTATAAGATTTAATTTTTTTAATTAAAACAATTTGCAAGTACTCATTAATGATTTCTTGGTTCATGTTAAATATATGTTTAAGGTTAGAAAATAAGTATGTGGACTATACCTGGCAATCTTAGAGTTTTTAAATCAAGCAAAAGTTAATTCATAGCTTTAGTGAGATAGGAACATGGATGCTATTACACAGCAGTTTAGTCATCAGGTGTTTTAAATACCAATTTTATATCAATTTTTAATTCCCTGATTATTTATACTAAGTATCTGTGTTTTTATGCTATGTGATTACTATTTTTCTTTATGTAATTGAAGAATAACAAACCTATATAAAAAATGATATACTATGGGTATTCAAGAATTATTTTATTCAAAAGTTCCATAATAATAAACATACAGAAATAAAACATTTTTAAAAAACAAACAAAAAACTATGACCCCCAAAAATATGAGTTATGAGCTTTTGTAATACTGAATCAGGGTAATGGAAGTCATTTTTAAAAATATAATGATGAAATTATAATGTATTTTTATCTAAAACAAAACAAATTCTTTAAATGAAAATAGTACAGAATCGTTTATCAGTTTAAAATACATGTATAATTAAGGGCATTATTCTGTACCCTTTTCTCAAATATAATAATATATCCCATCAATCCATTGCTTTAAAAAATAAACACAAAACCAAATGCCCACATTTCAATTTAAAAAATGCAACTGTCTGTATAAATTGAGGAAGAGTTTAGATAAAATGGAATAAAAACAAGCAGCATAATGGAAAACCAAGTTAGTTTGAACAGTTAATACAAGGTAATTTGACATTTGAAAATTTAAGAATTCAGTGCTAAGGCAACTGATATTAAGTGTGCAATGCCCTATTAGGCAAATCCTGCTTATTTTAAATAGAAATTTGAAAATGTGATTTTTAGCCAACTTGGGAAAACCTGTTTTTCTTCTGTTGACTGTTCTTGTTAAAAGGCCTTTAACTGATCCATACTTAAAACTAATATCACTATGCATTTAAAGACAGATTTCAACCATGTAGTCTATTCAATGAATTGAAAACAGTGGAGTATTTTATGGCAAGGTGCTGAAATTCCCAAGGCTATTTTCAACAGGGTTACGAGGTCTCTTTTAAAAAATGGCTAAATGAGAAACAATGAAAATGGGAACTGTTTCAATATGACAATTTTACCTTTCATCTATTTTTTCCCCAAAACAATAAGATAATCAATATAACAGTATCCATAACTAACTCTGTTTTTCCATTATGTTTTATAAAGAGAGGTTAATTAGGCAGAGTCAGTAAGTAGTGAGTAAGAAAAGCATATAAATTTATAATAAAAAATCAAATTACCACAGAACTGAGGTCACTCTAATGGAAAAATAAAAAAGAAAAATTAGAAAAATCAGAGATAAATGTTAAAGAAAAAGAATAACTTTAAAATGCATTTCTGCATTTTTAAAATATTTACTAAACAAGACGGCATTAGTGAACAAGAAAGTAAACAGAAAGCAACATAAAGAAGTATGACAAACCATTTCTTTAAAAAGGTGAAACTTCTGAGGTTAAATGACAATGGAACAGAGAAGAACACTACAGCTGAATTCTTAAACAGGAGCAAATACTTAAGGTCACATTTTGGAGGAGAGAATATATATAGTCCATGACTTTCCAGTTCTACAAATTTTTTACTATACTGTAATTCTTCAGATCATTTAGGATAGATATACACTAATCAAAAGGAGCTCTGGTGGCATAGTGCCTAAGGCATTTGACTGCTAACCAGAAGGTTGGTAGTGCAAACCCACCAGCCACTCCGCGGAAGGAAGACTGGACAATCTACTTCTGTAAAGATTTACAGCCTCAGAAACCCAAAGGGAGTTGTTATGAGTCATAATCAACTCAATGGCAGCGAGTTGGGTTTTTTGGTTATATGCTAATCGAACATTCAGAATAGATATGCACTGTATTGTTGTTGTTAGTTGCCCTTGAGTGAATTCTGATTCATGGTGACCCCATGTGAGCAGAGTAGAACTGCTCCATAGGGATTTCAAGGCTGTGACCTTTTGGAAACAGATAGCTAAGCTAATATTGACTAAGCTTATATTCTTTGGTGCCTGTGGGTGGGTTGTATCACCAGTCTTTTGTGATTGGTCATAACACTAAGTCAAACACTTAGCCCTTTAGCTTCTCCTAATAGTGGCTAAGTCACTTGCCTGCTAACCAGACGGCTGGCGGTTCAAACCCACCAGCCACTCCTCGGAAGGAAGGTTGGGCAATCCTACTTCCGTAGTGATACTGCCTTGAAAACCCAAGGAGGGGTCGCTATGAGTCGGGGCCGACTCGACGGCACATAACAACAACAAACTTGTATAGGGAGCTCCGGTGGTGTAGCACCTAAGGCATTTGACTGCTAACCAGAAGGCTGGAGGTTCAAACCCACCAGCCACTCCTAGGTTGGGCAATCTACTTTGGGAGCTCTGGTAGCATAGTGCCTAAGGCACTTGACTGCTAACCAGAAGGCTGGCGGTTCAAACCCACCAGCCACTCCTCGGAAGGAAGGTTGGGCAATCTACTTCCCTAGTGATACCGCCTTGGAAACCCAAGGAGGGGTCACTATGATTCGGGTCTGACTCATGGCACATAACAAACTTGTATAGGGAGCTCTGGTAGTGTAGTACCTAAGGCACTTGACAGCTAACCAGAAGGCTGGCAGTTCAAACCCATCAACCACTCCTCAGAAGGTTGGGCAATCTACTTCTGTAGTGATATCACCTTGGAAAAGCAAGGAGGGGTCAGATTCTTTTTATTTATATATTTCTAAAACTATTTACTTTTCAAGGGCTAGAAACCATTTTTCACCTCTGTGTTCCCAAGCTATTATGCTGGCACTTCATGATTTTTTTTTCTAGTCTTATAGTTATGTCATGTCTCTCTCCTTACTAGATTTAAGTTCCATGAGGATTGTCCAGTGTATATTTATTTCTCTTCAGTAAGTGGCACGGGACTCTGTACCCAGCAAGTGATCATGTGTTTGAATCCTATCTTCTAATGTCACCAATCTTTTTGCAAGGCTTTCTTATCTTAGCAGACTACAACAAAGTTTAAATTTCTTTTCCTATAGGTGATTCACTTATTATTAGAAGCAGCATCAAAAACATGTTTGAGACAAATGTGGGACTGATAATATAGTTGTGTAAGGACTACAGTACAGAGTAATATGCATCACTTACTGCTGCTAGTTTGGTTTACTGACTTCTACAATCTATCAGAAATTCCCAGTTATGGTGAATAGGGGATCTCTGGTGGTGTAGTGCCTAAGGCATTTGACTGCTAACCAGAAGCTTGGTGATTCAAACCCACCAGCCACTCTTCAGAAAGAAGATTGGGCAATCTACTTCCATAGTGATACTGCCTCGGAAATCCAAGGAGGGGTCACTATGAGTCAGATCCAACTCGACGGCAGTGAGTAGATGGTCAATAGACTCTACCTCACACTATTGGCTAAACAGTAACAGGTAATACTGAATATCTTTAAGATCCTAAATGCTATTTTCTAGTTTCTGGTTTTTAAAGTGATGTCTATTTTCAGAATTTTACTAAAAAAATATTTAGCTGAAGTTTTTTGCAAAATTTAGATTAAAGATTATATCAACACATGTTAGCTGAAAAGGCACAGCAAACTAACTTATTACTATGATTATAAAAAACAGAATATTGTATGGCAATGGGTAAAGATTGAAAGAGAATATGGGTTAATGAAGATCAATTACTTGTTAGTTTGGTGAAATTGTAGGTCACCCTCTTTTCTTTATGGGGGCATTTCATTGACTTTTTTTTTTAAATTATGTAATGACTAGTGATGTAAAAATTATCTGGCAAAAAACTCTGGATATTAGTGTTACAAAATGAATTGAAAAGTATCTAATGTATTGCCACATTTTCAACAAAAAAATCTAAAACAGCTTAATTAACATGTGTCTTTCTAGGAGTCCATTATAGAAAAAGAACCTACCTATATTTCTATTTGTTTTTATTTGCTAATCTATCTATTCTAATAGTTAACATTCTCCTCTCATACCATGGATGAAATATTTTCCAGCACAATGACAAATTAGACTATTTAAAATTCACCAAGCTGAATGCTATACTATAATTAATCAACTATATATACCATTAGTAACAAAATATATGGAACATGTAGTATTCCAAAACTCCCCTCCTCACCAAAAAGAAGTATCAACTATAAACATTTATTGCTCTCCTTAATTAGACTGTACTTCCCATCAAACATGTGTGCTCTTCACTATGTTCTCAGCATTCCCAGCATTAATAACTCTTCTTGGATGTCCTTCACTGTTCTGATGCTTTTCTGTTGCCATTATCCACTTTCCAGACTTTGCTACTGTTCCCCTCCTTGTCTATGAAGCTTCTTCAGACTTCTCTAAGATCTCATCCCCAGAGTTCCTATAGCACAACTGTTTATATCAATTTTTTAGACTTACTATATACTATCCTAGGTAGTTCTTTTATTTTATATATTTTTTTCTCTTCTCCTAATAGGTCTTCACTGAAGGCACATTTTTTATCTTAGACATCTTAGTCTTTATTCCCAGTTTTCTATGAATTTCATACTAAGTAAAACTTCAGATTCTAATGATAAAAATATAAATAGCAAATTTCTAATTTTCATTGGTTTTGAGAGTACTACAGACATAATTTTCATTTCAAAATACTGTTCTTAAATATCTTTGACTTTACCACTCTACTATGAAATACATGAGGAGCTCTGGTGGTGTAGTGCCTAAGGCACTGACTGCTAACCAGAAGGCTGGAAGTTCAAACCCACCAGCCACTCCTCAGAAGGAAGGTTGGGCAATCTACTTTTGTAGTGATACTGCCTCGGAAACCCAAGGAGGGGTCATTATGAGTTGGATCCGACTCGACGGCAGGGAGGTTTTGGTTTGATAAAATACATGATTTTTGAGGCCAGCACAGGGAATGTCAAGTGATTTGGTATTTCTAGAACTCCAGAAGCCAAGATGAAACAGAATATTCTAAAAGAAAGTCATTAATAAAATCTTTCTCCTATGGCAAACTCTGTTTCATCCCTTTTGTTAGGATAGAAGATAAATGACCTTTTATTTTAAGTTACTTCTCTATTATTTCCAATCTCCTTTCTCCCAAGGAGCTTTTGAAGCCATTCACCAAACTCAGCAACCTAACTCTGGCATGTTGACTTTCTGGGACAAAGAATATAATGTGCTGTGCTTTACTTGTCAGTATTTTCACAAGTGAATACTCAATCTATTCTGCAGGGTTAGCTCTATTTTATAATCCCCAGAGCATTATAAATACTCAACAGATTGCTATTGTTTTTAAACAGTAACAAGCACCATTAAATTCAATTATAAAATCATCTAATGAAAGAGGAGGAAGAGTCTCACAAAATTAACAATGGAAATAAAAATCAAAAAGCATTAATTTCATGTAGGTTGAAAACAGATTAAGAGACCAACAACTGAAATTATTCACTTTTGACTTAACCTTATGCTCATTTTTTCACAAGCAATGCATCGACTTAAAGCAATTTACTTCATTATAATGAGAAATGTAGTAAGTCAGATTTTAGTAAAATAAGATCTTAATGTTTAGTATAAAATCTCATTGGGTGCCCAACACTTACCTCTGCATTGTAAAATTTGGTTTTCACATCCAGTGGTTTGAGAACCTGTTTGAATAAAGCATATAAATCAGAGGAGAATAAAGCATATAAATTAGAGATTTTATCATTTGGCCATTTATTTTTTTTTAAATCACAGGGCTTAAATTTATCAAAAACATTTCCCAATTTTAACTGTAAAAGATTTCTGTAATAGGTATGCCACACTCTTGGGTGGGGGAACTCAAATGCATTTTTTTTTCCCCCTAAATTGTAATTTGGGTGAAAACATACAGAGCAAATTTGTTTTCCATTCAACAGTTCATACACATATGGTTTCATGACATTGCAATCCCCATAATGGCTCTCTTCCTGCTTCCTCCCTGTGGTTATCTTTTCCCTGTGTCCTTTCCTATGCATTCATTCCTGCCCTCTGAGCTTTTTCCCTTCACAAATGCTGCTCTTCCAACCTCCCATGGTTGATTTTTCTCAGGAGTGTACCTAACTTGTAGGCCTATTATTTGGTTAGAAGCCACAGGAATGAGTTCAATTCCAGGCCCAAAGGGTGACTAGGGGTCATCATAGTCTCAAGGGTTTCACCAGGCTATCAGACCAGTAATCCTGAACATTTTTTTTTTTTTTTTTAATGAACTAATGCATTTTTTAAAAGGCTACCATTATTTCATGACAGGGTGATGGTTATATGCTTTGCTTTTATTTAACAACATTTTGTTAAAGTGAACACATATCTATTTTCTATATCTATATTATATTTCACAGTAAAAATATTCACACAGAAAGCACCAGAATATTCTATTTTAAAAGTCACTCAAAAATCTCTAACAATTGAGTTCTGCAGCAAAACAATGGCAATTTTTCTGCTGATACTAGTATTTTTTCCACTTACAAATAGGAGAATGTATATAACATCATATCTATTTATAGACTCATAAGGCATTTGGCCCACCTCTTTCTCTTTCTCTCTCTCTCTCATACACACACACACACACACACACACAGTAGTGAAGAATTAAACCAGTGGTTTTTAAGCATTTTTGGAGCAAGGTCTTTGAAAATGGCAAATTCTAGAATTTCAGTGATTCATGTAGACCCAGAAGCAAGCTTGGTCCACTCACCACTAATCAATAATCTCTTATCCTATTCCCATTCATTTTATTCTCCTCCTGTATTTTTGTGTGTTTTGTCAAGTCATGAAAACAAACTTATTTTTTTGGATAAAAATCTTTACATTTCATTACAAATACATTACACTGGCAGTGTTATTTTGCTTTGCTTTTATTTAACTTATTTTAGTCTGATTTTAGATTGCTATAAATATGACTAGGAGCCCTTGTGCTGCAATGGTTAAAGTGCCAGGCTGGTAACCAAAAGGTCTATTATTTGAACTTACTATGGCTCTGTGGAAGAAAAGACCTAGTGTCCTTCTCCTGTATAGATTACAACCTTGGAAACCCAATAGGGCAGTTCTACTCTATCCTATACGGTATCGCTGTAAATCAGAAGTAACAAGTATAACAAGTAATAAGACAGATCCCCAAATATTTAATTATTTGCTGTACTTGGAGCTTTTTTTCATTAAAAATGTCAATAACCATATACCTCCAGAAAAAAAAAATCTAGAAAACAATTGACCTCTGTCATATTTTGAATACCTGAAATTTGAAGAATTTTCTAAAATACATTTTTTCTCCACTCTGAGTTGTATAACTCACTGCACACACCAAGCTGAAACAGAAAGATTGTCTTAATGATTCTGAATCATATGCAATTTTATTTAACAGTGAATTTAACATACCTCAATTTTTTTTTTTTTAAATTTTATTTTGATTTGGGTGAAGATTTACAGAATAAATTCACTTTTCATACAGCAGTTCACATATATTTTGTCTCATGTCATTGACCAAAATTTACAATGCAACAGCTCCCCTCCCACTTCCTCCCCATAGTTACCTCTT